GGGGCTGGGGTTGCGCCGCCCCATGGCGCTTCCCGAATCCCCAACCCCCCTCCCCACTGGCCGCCACGTGGCTTCAAAGCCACGCGTCCGCGGGGTCGGCGGCCTGGCCGCGTCCGTGGAATCGGCCACGCTTGGCCGCCGCCGACGGGGATTCATAGCCTGCCGGGCAAGTGACCCCGGGGTTGAAGTCCCACCGCCCAAGTTTAAGTTTAGAAAACGCAACCGTGTGACACCATTTTGACATTAATAAATTTGAAACAAGAAATTAAAAAAMTGGAAAAAAAAACGCTAGAAACARCTTTTCTCCTTATTTTTTTTTACGTAACTCGGAGAAATGAAACACGTCTGGCACAGTCAGAGTGAATGTTTCTGTGGAAAAAGGATACTTCCCGTGGTGAGGGGACAGGAGGTCACCATTCGTAAAATGGACAGGGACAACATGGATGGCCAGATGCGTTCATTGCCCAAAGAAGGAAGAGAGTTTGATGCCAGAGAGCCAAACAGAGCTGTCAGAGTTCCTCCGTTTCAGGGTGTAAGAAGAGGAGGAGGAGGAGGAGGAGGAGGAGGAGGAGGAGGAGGAGGGGATGAAGAAAAAGAGGAGGACAAGGACGAGGAGGAGGACACAGATGAAGATGAAGAACAGGAGGAGGAGGAGGACAACGGCAGCGATGGACGAACCCGACGAGGAGGAGGTGAAGGACTAGGGGGAGGAAGAAGATGAGGAGAAGGAGGAGGAGGAGGAGGGGGAGCCAGAGGACAGGAGTACAAAGACGATGAGGAGGAGGAGGAGGACAACGACGACCAAGAATATGAAGACATGGAGGCGGAGGAGGAGGAAGAAGAAGAAGAGGAGGACAAGGACGACAAGGAGGAGAAGGACGGCGAGGAAGAAGAAGAAGAGGAGGAGGACGAGGGGGAGGAGGAGGAGGAGGACGGCGGGGATGGACGACGCCGACGAGGAGGAGGTGGAGGACTAGGAGGAAGAAGACGAGGAGAAGGAGGAGGAGGAGGGGGGGGAGGAGCAAGTGGACAGAAAGGAGGAGGAGGAGGCGAAAGAGATGGAGGGAAAGCAGGAAGAGGAGGATGAGGAAGAGGAGGGAAAGGAGGAGGAGGAGGAGGAGAGATGAGAGAGACATGGAGGAGGAGGAGGGTACACACCTGCACGGGGGTTGGAGGACACGTCGGGTGGTGGCGCAATGGCGATGTGGCAACGTCTGACTCCCACGACGTGCCCAAGTCGCGCGCAGGCTGAAGGCAACACACAGCAGAATTCGAATTTGGATTTGGCCCGATCTGGGCCGTAGATGTCTTAGATCTAACGGCCCAGAGCGGACCATTTTCGTTTTCGATTTCGGAGGCGCTAYCGGCCTCACGAAAATGGCGCGTCCTTCCCGGGGGTATATCATACCTGAAATCACACCCGCGCAGGCCCAAAAGCCTTGAACTCCCCAACACGGATTTTTCCACCAGCCCGGACACCGGGCCCAGCTTGGACGACCGGGGGAGTTGTCTGATCGGACAACCCGGACCCAAAAATGGTCCCGGACGTCTGGGCTGGTAACCTAACGCAATATAGATCTTGAAAAGATCTACAACATCATTTTCTTTTTTCTTTTTTCTTTTTTTTTCTTTTTTTTTTTTTCTTTTTTTTTTGAGAATTTTTTGTACTCTCAAAAAATTTCTGAAAGTCGCGGCTGCACCCCCCAACCGCGGCCGCGGGTGATACATAGCCCGTGACCCGCCTATACAACGCATATGCCACGAGCTGGTCAGGCGGTGAGTTGGCACCCGTTCCAGATATCACGCCACCACCCCAACTATGTCGCGGAATGTATCCTCGATTCCTCGTCCGTCCGGATATTGTCAAACCAGTAGTCCTCCACTGCGGCATCGCCTCTCGCCATGTTTCGCCATGCCCCGCCAGCTCTTGGTTTCACCCACCCGTGCCACCACCGTCGAGGAGTGGAGCCAACAACAGCCTCCTCGGCTGCCACCAAACTTTGCACATCCAACAATAGAATTGACGTGATTCTTTGACTCAATCTGCGCCTTGCAATCACCCAAAGGCGGACAACCAGAATCAACAACAATAGCAGCATCTCTTGTTGCTGGATATGGAAGACTATAGCCATTGCAGTTGCCATCCAGGCTGGCGATTGTCTCCTCCATGTGTTGCTTCTGTTCTCTTGCCCTGGAGGTGGCCGCATTCCGCTGATGCTTCCTGTGCTCCAGAATGCTCGGCACGATGCGTGGGTGAAGTGTCCGCAGGCCACGAGTATGCAGTTCTCGGCGTGTGCGGATGACAAGTCCAGAACATGCAGCACAGCAAGGCGAGCGCTTCGCCGAATGCACTCTGGGTTTCGCCGACCCGCCGAACATCTTCTTGTACAGGAGAGAGGCATGCCAGCCGTCCACGTACTACGCTGGCCCGGTCCAGGAGCTTCAAACACGAGGACCCGAGTTACGATTTTTGAACTCAGATACAGGGAAAAGGCTGAAAGCTTGCGCCCACGATAAACTGCCCGCTGCCCCTGCCCCTTGTCTCCGCTCCCTCTCCACTGATACACCGGCCCTGTCCATAAGCTTCAAACGCGAGGACCCCAGTTCCAGTTTTTAAAGCCAGATACAGGGAAAGGCCGAAAGCTTGCGGCCACGAGAAACTGCTCGCCGCCCCTGCCCCTTGTCTCCGCTCCCTCTCCGCTCATACGCCGCGCGGAACCAGTTCCAGAAGGGTTCCCGGCATTCAAACTCATCGGTGTAAGTGTAAGTTCGTGTAACAACTCCCGACCGGCGATCGTCTTCGCCACACAGCACCTGTCGAAAGGCAGAGTCGACTTGCGAATGACCGACAACCTTGCCCCTCGACAGGCTGTGTGGCGAAGGGTGGGGGAAATATCGACCGCCCGACTGTCGAAAAAATTCTGACAGCTGTAAAAATTTTTGGACTTTCGACAGCCTATGTGGCGAGCCTCCCAGAGTAGCATCATGTTGGAACGTACCTGGACTAGGTGATACTTCAGATCAGATTCTCCTTAAAAAGAGCAAACTATCCACATGATGCCACTCAAACAAAATTCACATACTGTGCGGACAGGAAATTGAACTAGACCAAAACAAGATTGACCGGGCACAAAGTTGGTAGAATTGGCCCCAGTTCTGGGCCCCCGCAAATGGCACCAAAGGGGGCGGCAATTGTATATTGTTTCAAAAGAACTTGTAAATCTACATTTTAGACAACTTTTCAGATCCCTTGGGCAGATTTGTGTGGGTCAAGTTTTCTCTGGCAGTTGAAGAATGGGTGAAAAATGTCAATTTACGCTCCAGTAGATTACCCAGATGGAGTGCGCTTTTTCAGAATCTTCCCTCAATCACTCCTGACACAGAGAACTTAATACTAGCAGCAGACTGGAACACAGTCCTGCTGACAGGGCTGGACTCACCGTCCGCCTTCACCATAAGGCATCACACCAACCAGTGCCGGACCCGCGAACGTGACGGCCGTTCATTTGGTGTTT